TGTGGGGATCTCGTGTGGAGCCAGGTACTTCAGCTCACCTTCAACTCGCATCGAGTGGAACTTGTCGACGACATGATGCGCTGGCTCCAGCTGGTCTGACAGTTGAAGGTGCCCATACATCGCCTTCAGTTGAGCCCAACGTGTCTTCCGCTCCACCGGTGGCAGCTTCCTGGTCTTCGACCCGTCTGCTTCTTGGGTCCCTTCCAGGCGGCTACGGAGCTCAGCTGCCACGATCGTGTAGGCCTCATGGTAGAGCTTCCTCAACTTCGGGAGGTCTGCATGGTCTCCTGCCCCAGTCAGCGGCCGCGCCACCTGCTGGATGAATGCCTGATCATCTCCTGACCCAGGCGACCAACTGCTGGCAAACGCAAAGGTGCTCATAGTCGTCCAACCTCTGCGTGTCATCTCATCTTTGTAGCCCTCGAGCCCCATGTCCTTGAGCTTCGCCTCGAAGACCGCTTGGGATTCGGTCAACGTCGCCATGGCTCTGCTCGGGTGTTCACCACTAACGCTCGGGCCTTGCGTCACTCCGGCATTCGCATCACCTCACAACTCACTTGCTGCACCTCACAACTCCAGACTAGACAAACTGTTCTCATGACTCTCTTACCTCACACATTCCTATGCCACACTTGCTTTCCGTCGCGCGTCGCTCGCTCCGGCAGTCCTTGGCACCTGACTTCATTCTGCAGGACCACCCTGCTCCACTTGACCTGGCCGGACTACCCGGTGTCAGGCCAAATGCACTTGGGAACAACTCCCTGCGGCATACTCCATGCATCACTTGGCCGGTCTACGAAGGTCACTTGCGACATCCGATCTTCGATCCCCCCCCGGCCTCACATTGACCCACTTTTTGCTCACTGCGGCGCGTCTTTCACCTTGTGTAGCCTTCACACACTTTACACTTACTTCCCCAGGCGTGGACTTCATAGTCCAACTTCACCATGACGGCGGAAATCACTCTGCCACACGCCAACTTGCCCGGGATCACACTTCCACTATGCACAGTACCTGTGAGACCATGCCTGTACAGCTCTGCTGTGGCTTTCTTTGGTGGCCCGAGCTTGGCCGTGACAACTGCCTCGAGGTTTCTCTCATCTTCACTCTCGCGGTCCTCCGACTCTTCTTCACTGCTCTCACTTGTCACCTCGGCCAGCTCCACCAACCTATGGATCGGCTTGCCTGGCGACTTCACCTCGAGCATGTCCCAATGACCTTCGGGGATCAACGCTTCGTCGCCATCTGGCTCTACTTCGTGATCCTCCTCACTTGGGAGCACCGGTGACTTTACCCACCGTTGGTTCCGGGCGCGTCCGGCTTGAACTTGCCTGTGTAAATGTCTGTGATCACATTCGTCAGGATGTCCAGTCCCTCGGCCAACGCGTCCCTGCTGTAGATCACCACACTCTTGTCCTTCGGCTTAACATGGCATCCCAGCAGCCTTCGCACCTTCTCTGGGGCCATGGCTTTTGCCAGCCAAGACAGGGCCGTCGCCTTCATGGAGTGAGCCCCGACATCCCCCAACTTCTGGGGGTAGATGGCATACTTCTGCAACATCTCACACAGCCAGATGGATGCCTCAGGCGTCGACAACCTTGCCTGGCTCCACCCACCTCCAGGCACTGGTGTTGGTAGGAATGGGCGTCCCGGCAGCGCTCTCAAACCAGACATGCTCCTCAGCTTGAGCAACTCCTCCGCCCACTGCACACCTGTCACACCTTGGCATGGTGCAACCACTGGGAGCACTCTCCTTGCCCTGCCAACCAGTGCGTCTGTCTTGTGAATGCCGTGCCACCCTCGAGGTACCCTCCATCGACCGTCGGCTCGGAGTCAATGCCTTGGCTGTCACCGAACCTCAACCTGCCATACACACATAGCAGGCAGTGCCCAGCAAACACTCGATCTTGGAGGGGGAAGCCTTCTCCTGCCAGGACTATTTCAAGCAGCGACACTTGGGACACCGTCAATGCGTCCCTCTGCCTCAGCACCCTCTTCGTGAGGTAACTTCTGTGCGCTGAACCAGTGATGCGACCGCTCTGCAGGATCTCGTCTACCCCCTCCAACTGTATGGTCCCTTTGCAGAAAGCTAATGCACTCCTGAAGCTATTTGCACGAGTAGCCGGCGCTCCGTCTTTCCGAAGTTGATCAACATACTGATACACTTGGGCCTCGACGACCGGGAAGGGTGGAAGGCCTTTGGCTCTTGCCCACCTGATGTAGATCATCATGGCGCTCAGCCTCACTTGTAGTGTCCCGTTCTTCTTCTTCGCGAAGATGTCCTCGAGTACTGACTCACCGGACTGATCGAGCATGCCCGCTGCTTTGCACGACTTCCTGGCCTCGTCGATCACGATCTTCCACCCTTCCATCACTTTCTCTCTCTCTCTCTGTTTCCATGGCCTTGGACCATGGCATCCGCTGACTCCCATCGAGCTTGAAACTCGGCACCATTTTCCATGCCTCCTCGACCTTCTTGATCTCGGGCTGCACTTCCTCGTCGACCTGGATCGCATGCGGGGCTCTTGTCTTCTCGTCCAGGAATTTGGTCTCCATAACTGACGACTTTCGGTCCAGCACAAGACCTGTGAAGCCTCTTTCCCATGGCATCTTGAGCTCACCTGGAACGTGGAACTTCAGCTTCTGCATCTCGGAGCGACCCATCTCGTACTCGTCGCGCACGATGGGGTCACTTGCAGCCGGTGTCTCTGCCTTCTTTGCCTCCTTCATGTTTTCGACCAACTTCTTGAGGGCCTCCAATGGGCTCATCTTCACCTGCTCATGGTCGCTGTTGGAGTCGACATCCATGACCTCAGTTGGGGATTCTGATCTGTCGCCTTCCCCATTGCGAACGTCCTCGGCTCTCATACTTTCGAGCTCTTTGAGTCTGGCCGCCATCTCATGGATGTTCCCCACCTGCTCGAACTCCTGGGTGGCATCCACCTGTGTGACCTCCATTGGCGTGCCCTCGTCGTCCGTCACCACAATGGGCCCCCCCGCGCTGCTTCCCCCTGGCATGGGGGCCAACTCATCTTCCAGCTCCATGGCTTGAAAAAACAAAGAGTGCGGGGGGGCCCCTTACTTGGAGCCAAAATGGCACGTGGATTCGACCGTACGTCACATGGTTCCTCCCTGTTTCTATTTGTCAAAATACATCATCACTGCGTGACAGATTGCATAGGTATTCTATTCTATATATATATATTCATATAATACATTCATTTAGGTATCTTGAGGTCCTGGGAGGCCATCGCTCTTAGGTTGGACCATCGCTATTATGTTGGAGGCCATCGCTACGGTCCTGTGCCAAAGGCTCATTTGTGATGGCACCAAAATTTAGTGTCTTCGGTAAGATCAGCTTTCACATAGACGCACCAACATGCTAGAATGCACCAGCCTCATTGGAGCAAGCGTTTTGCAGTTTGTTCTCAGTTGTAGTTGTGGTTTGTTTCTGTTGTCTTTGTTTTTGCTGCTCTCAATCAAACCACAAATAGCATCTGATATGCACGTTGAACACCATAAAACTTAAGGCTGCTCAAAACTGAACCAGTCTGCTTCTTCCCTCTGGCCTCCACTGGCTGCTCCTGCACAGAGTGCACATGATCTTGCCATATCTCAGGACAGAACAAACCGAGGTTGTCAATATATGCAACTCAAAATCTTTGTTGAGCCATGGGCTCCCTGACACAGCTAAGGTCATTCAAAGGAGGATTGTGCATGACCTGTCCTCTGTGTCTTGCCCCATGGAGCACAAGCGAGCAGCTGCAGAAGAAACCTCAAACAAAGGAGTGGAGGCTGAAGGTTGAAGCGGATGCCATGCAATTCAATTGGACTGTTCACGAGGGTCTACCCCATCAAGAACTTGAGAAGAACTGCGTCTTCTCCTAGAGCGACAACTGTAGTCTCAATTGTTGATTAGGCAGGTCATTGATGAAGACTCAACAACAGGTGCTTTAGAGTTGACCATTGAGTCACTAAGGCTATGTCGGTTGTACATGTCAATCGCACATTTGTCAGATACGAGTTTGGACAAGTTGAAGTCCGGCACCTTTGGGATGCGCGGAGGAGTCGTGCTCCGGACCTGAAGAAGAACGACGAAGGTTCCAAATGGTCTGTCTGAGTCTGCCTGTGCTCAGAATGGTGAGGCTTCTTTCAATCTACTAGTAGTTCAAAGGAGGCTTCATGAGGTATGCCCCCAGAACCAGCATCTTCCATGCAGATTCTGCCAACCAGTCAAATGCTTGCAACAGTCTTGCGGTTTTGCTTTCATGGCATGAATTGCCACTTTTGGATGGGACAATACTGACATTGTCAAGGTATTTCTGAGGCAACTGCTTGCAGCAGTCCTGGCATGGGTCAGCTGGGTCGGCTGAATTAAGCTTCATTCCATGATCATACATGCTGAATCTCTTGTTCTTTCGAGTTGACATCCGAAAGCAAGCCATCAGATATCATACAATACAACTATATATAATATACCACTAAATGCATCAAATCAATGCAATACCTTCTAGACTACAACTCCTTTGTTACAAGCAAAGGTGTACAGAAAAGTAGGCATCGTGTAACGAAAAGTGGAGGTGTCGTGCACTCAAAGGATTTCTCACCACTCGCATTCCCCACGAGGTTTCCGCTAAAAGGCAAACGAACACAGAACCCCCTCAAAACAAACACACCGCTCTTTGCCTAGGTGGCGGTCGCCTATGTGGCGGTAGCCATCAGATGCAACTGAGGTGGCATCCTGGCAAATAATGGTCTCGTGCCAGTGCCGCTATTTGAATCTCTCACGGACTCCTACCAGGAGAATGGAGAAGCCACCCCGCCATAGCTAGAGGTGGCAGCTTTTTCTTAGCATTGTCAACACAGGCACAACATGACCGTCACGCTTTTTCACTTGCAGCCTGGCAATTGCCATCCAACGCTGCTAAATCTGTCAGCTGCACAGTGCGTACAAACAGCTTCATGTCGAGTCACTACAGTTATACACTTCTCATACGTTCTCATCTGGAGCAACGCATCGCTGCTCGTTTGCTGATGAGGGCGATCTCTATCATCGGAATCTTCACAAGCACCCAAACTCCGGTGTATCCTGTCAACAGGGAGCAAGGACGCTACTAGGAACCAGTTGGCCGTGCAACATGTTGGCTTTTTGTTTTGATGGCTTGTCCCTCAGGTCCCTGAGGCCTCGGTTTGACCGCCACCCCTCGTGCTGACATTTGGAGCTCATGCGGGTCAAGTGGCTGATCTCGTTGGGCATCACTTGTATCTGATCCATTCTGCCTTGGCAGCGAAATGTGTTTGGCTGCAGGAACCAGGTCTTGTTTGTGACCGCAAAATAACAGGAGACACGCAGCACTGTCACACATGTAGCTTTCAAATCAAGGTACCGTGTGTACTACTCACTTGGGTGTGGATGGATATTCGACTCGGCATCATCGGGCGAACTGTTCAGGGATTTCGCCGGGATACTGCTTGATGATACCACTTGCAGCGGGGCTATCTGCATGGCCACTTCCCACAAGGCAGCCTCAAGCAACTGCGAAGCCATACAGTGCCACACAGGATTCAGCCTGACGCCTGCAAATGTTTAGCCAAGTCGTTTCACAAAGTGCAAACATCGATTTCCATGAAGCAATATGAACTTTCCCAAGACACTAAAACGTAAAAGAACCGTGCTCTATGCAATATGATCATGACATCCTTTGCCAAGGATGTCAAAAGGATCATCAGGTTTGGGATAGCACAAATCCCCTAGAGAGCCATTTGCAACCGAAACGCTTGTGCAGCAGTTGGCATACTGGATATTGTGTTAGCAGGCATGTCAAAATGCTTAGTGACTTGTAATGCCTTATAGTTATATATATATAGTGTCTGTTCGGAACCTGTGCGAACTTGGTTGAGAGGATCTCAACGGGCTCCACGTTTCGCCCACCCAATGGACCTTCCCTTCGTACCTTTATTTCTGTCTTTGTGCCAGCGCATCACCTCCTTCATCCTCCTTGCCTATTCTTTCCGTCTCTCTATGTCTCTATGAGGCTGTATGGCTCCCTGCTCAGTCTGTGTACTACCTCGTTGCTCTGATTCCCGCTCGCTTCATGTCTCTGCCTACTCAGTATACTCAGTTGACACGTCTCGTGAAAAGATCCCTTGTCTCGTCTCGTCTCTAAACCTCTCATCTCTAAACCTGATGCCTGTCCAATTCCTCTTGCCAAATCCTTTTGGCCTTAGCCAGGCCCTATGGGCAGAATTTCCGGGGAAAGACTACGGAACAACTTCAACAATTCATGAACAGGAGAAACGAAAGCAAACAGAAAGGTGAAGCGGTTGCAATCGCGTTTGCGTATTTTCTCAAATCTTTCACACTCTCCTCGCCTTACCCTTTAATCTTTCTTAGTCTTGAAGCTCTTTACGGGGTTGGGGCGTGACGTGACCCCAAAAGCTACTTGAGGATGGTATGCTCGGTTATATTGACATCAACATACATCAACCATGTGGTGTTTCTATTTTTGGAGACACCAAAGTCGGACCCTCTTTTAAAGGCCAAGAACCGATCACACTTTTCTTATGCAGATATCGCTTGCACCCAGAGCGCCTGTGTCTCACAAGCTGCAAAAAGGCTGCCCCAAATGACATCATTGGACTTCAGGCTCCGAGTTTCCAGCAAAGGCTGCAAGTAATTTGGGGCCATCAACCGATAGAAAGAGGACACCATCAGATTCGTCACCCCGTCCTCCAAGACCTTCATGATGGTTCCGTAGGTCACAGGACTTGGCACAAGAGACTGGCAGGTGCTGAATGAAGCAAGTGCTTTTTGCCAGAGAGCCCCCTGTAGGGAGTAAACCGCGCTGTTATGGCTGATTACATCGAAAAACCTCAGCAAAGTCAGTGATAAGCCCAATTCCTCACTGTCAAAACCTTTGTTAACGCCTGGCGCATGCAACACTTTAATCCCTTTGTCATTTTCTATCAAGAAGCCACAGCTGCACTCTTCATTGGTGTTCAGAAGGCCAACAGCATGGCGCCACTTTACCACTCACAAGGCTGTGTTGAAATTCACGATGTCCTCAGCTGTGACAACTCACACGGTTCTCTTGGCAAGCTCCACAGCACAAAGAATTGCTTGTCTGCCCTCTACCCTATGAAGATTGTGCGGGCACTTTTTCTTCCAGTGCGGGACTGATGTTCTTTATGTAAATCAGAACATCTCTTGAGCAAGCATGTGTGCGGCCGTTGGTTTCTGTAATGCATGATCAGCCCATGCTTTTGAAATATGTGACTGAAGGGTTGGGGGATCTGCACACTTTCGATCGGCAAGCACCTTATGTTGGCTACTTTCATTAGAACTTGTGCGCATGCCTCTCTCTCTCTCTCTCAAGACGAGTTTCAGTATGAAGATTGTTGAATGCAAATGTCATACGATTTCTGATTGTCATCCCAATCCTCCCAATCCTGTTGACCAAAAACAGCAGCGGGGCGATGATTGCCAGTCAGCTGCAAACATCGCAAGGCTAGGGTCCAGCAGCTTTCCTTTCATGTTCAAAAAGCTCTCCCTTCAAAGCGGCCACTGATCCCAATAAAGAAAACAGGGGACTGGACTGAGTGCTTGAGATCGCAGTGAGCTTTTAAAGCACTTCGTTTCAGCTCTCAATGCTGTTCCAAGGCTCCCCCACGCATGACGGTGTTGTAACTAATGATGCTTGGGAGAGCAATCCAAAGCTCCACAGCTTGGCCAAAGCGTAAATCGCAATACTAAAGCTGGCCTCTCGTTGTTTCTTTTGATTTTAAAGTAGACTAGACACAGCTCAGGGTTGTACTGTTGTCTCTCAATTGAGCCACTAAACCCGGCCTGGTCTGGACGGACCTTCCTTTGTGGCAAGCTGTGAAGCAACGCGAGGGCGTCCAAAGACTGCCTTTCGAATACTCTTCCAGCAAGCCATTGTAATGGAGCTGTCCGGCTCGAGCCTCCAAATGGTTGTTGATCACACGCACACACACTTGAATTCTCGGGATGAGCAATCCAAGTTGGTGAGTGGCAGTTCGAAGTCCGGAAGGTGACGGTGCTATTGGAGTGTAGTTCACACGCCAAAAAGGAGTCGTAAAACAGGGCCACTCTGAAAACTGATGTGTTCGAAACGGCACCTGGGCATGCAGTCGTTGCAAAGATATTATGCTTGTGGAACGCCCTTCCATGATTAGATTATTTTATCAGGTGCTACAGCGAATCAAGAACTCTCAAGCAATGATGTTATCTTCCTTTGTTTAGGATCTACTCAAAGCTTTCCTTGGCAAGACTTAAGCCTGGATTCTCTGGGCGCATTGCAGGAAAGAAGGAGCATTGCAACGGATCCTAATTACGGCTGGATAGGACAGACTGCGTAACGAGGGCTGAATCAGTTTTGTTAAGTGTATCTAAAGGGCTGAAGGGGGATGATAGCATCTGACAAGCAAAACTGGGCTACGGTCGAAATCAGGTAGAACACTCAAGTGCCGATGTCCTCAAACTCATAGCGTCGCCAAACAGTCGCTGAAATGTGGATGGCTTGAGCGTATGGCCTGCAAAAAAAACACACACCAAACCACCGCTCTCAGCTGACTGTGCCATGTTAGTTTGCACGGTATGTGATCTCAACAAATCATAACAAATCCAGCGGTTTCTGCTGAACAGGACCTTGCCATGTCTGGTACTGCACGAACCACGGTCGCGTTGCATGAACTCTCCCCGTTCTATCGAGCTTCTTTGGTAATCTAAGCTTGAGCCCTCCTGCGAGAGGAACCTGCATTGCATCGATGAGTTCGCTGAATTCACCTGCTGCTCGAATTCAACAAATCTTTACCGAGAACTTGGAAAGCAACTCACCAGCCTCCTGACCCAAAGCCTCCCATCTGCCTCAAAAGCATGTCCATCTTACGATTTGGTTCCAGAGTAACTTTCCGTTGAAAGCCAACCTTGAAGGGAGGGGGGGTCAATGGCCCCTTCGCAGGACCTGCCCTCAGTGGACCTCAAGGTAGCTGGATGCTTTTAATCCGAATGGACTTCATTTGGGGGTCGGCAGGACCGCAAAGAGTTCAAGTCCTCAGATGGATTCTTGCAACAGAACATACATAGGCTGGTTCCATACTTGGCAAGCTCAGTGCGAGGCTGAAGTCTGTGTATCCAGTGTCCTGACATGCAGGCGCCACTGACTTTGTGTTACGCACATTTGCTGTCTGGCCCCCGAATCCCCAGACAAAGTTGCCTACTCGTTCTAATATGTTCTAATTCTGGAAGTGCATTATGCTTCTCGCATATGACTATATTATGACCAAGAAAAGTTATTCAAAGCTTGATTGAAAAGCAACAGTTCATCATGATCTCCTGTCCCATCATCGGCTGCCGATGCAGCCCCTGCCCATCCGATCAGTTTCTGAACACTTACAGTGTATATGATATATGATATGATTTGGGATATCTTCAGCATAAAAGTTGAGAGTGATACGAAGCGTTAATGACTCCATGTCGGACAACTGTTGGCATCGTACAAATTGGTTGCGAATGGTCGCCACCTTTCAATAGGTCATTTCATCTGTGGAACCCATGGTGAGCCAAGTCAAAGTCTGGCCTTCTGGAAGGGCATCGACGGAGCCGGATTTCCTCAGAAATGGAGCCATGGCATGTCGCAGTCCATGTCTGATTCTACTCCCAAGAAGCACAACATAGATGACACTTAACCACCCGAACTGGTTCCAGTCAACACTTGGCACCTAGCCAACACTTGATTCCAAGGCCCCATACTGACCGGTGGTGCCACCACCTGGCCGACAGGATGAACCAATGCTCCCACTGAGAGCCTTGGGCAGACAAGCGAGACTTCTTCGATTTGAAACATAAATTGATGTTTTACATCAAACTCTGATTGAGTCGGATTTTGTTCATCCATGATCTCGACACTAATTTGACAAAAAACTGACGGCCAAGAAGGGACCTGTTGAAACAAAGAAACAAATAACACTAAACAGGTCAAACAAGAGCCCTCAAGGCCAAGAAGGGACCTCCTACTATAAAAAAATCAAAAAAGAAAACTGAAGGCGACGAAGAGAACTCTAAAAACACTAACACGGGTCATAAAAGAACCTTGAACAGGTCAAAAAAGAAGCCTGAAGCAGGTCACAAAAGAGCCCTGCATCAAACAGTCAAAAAGACATTAAAACTTTAGTTCATCCATTTTGCTGTTAGGTGCCCAACTTGCAGAAAACAACAAGCTCGGTTTACTTTTTCGGAGGGAGGGTGGCCCTTAAGAGTGAGGACTATAGAAGGGCTCGGGGTCTCAGACCGCCCCGATAGGCGGGCGAGGGGGGATTACCTAATTTGGGGGGGGTATTGTTATTGAAATGATTGCCCCAGGGGCTCCCCCGCCCCCCGAAGAATAAGAAAGGGGGGAAGGGGGGGTTCATTCTTCTCATGGTCAAGGAGAACGCCCCCCCCGCCATGGAAGGGAACGACTATACCCCCCCCTTTCATTCTAACAATTCGCCCCCCCCCCATTATAACGACAAACCCCCCAACCCCGCTATCGAGCGGGTATGCAGACCGCCCCGATAGGCGGGCGAGGGGGGATTATCCCTATTTGGGGGTGGGTGTTGTTATTGAAATGATTGCTTTCCGAGCCCCAGGGGCTACCCCCCCCCCCGAAGAATAAGAAAGGGGGAAGGGGGGGCTCGTAGCACAGGATCCTTCTTTAATGCCCTCGTAGCCCTCGTAGCAAAGGATCCTCCTTTAAGGCCGTCGTACCAAAGGATCCTTCTTTAAGGCGCTCGTAGCACAGGGTCCTTCTTCAAGGCCGTCGTAGCACAGGATCCTTCTTTATGGCCTGTAAGAAGGATTCGACGAGGAGGTTTAAAGCCCTCGTAGCACAGGATGCTTCTTTAAGGCCGTCGTAGCACAGGATCCTTCTTTAATGCCCTCGTAGCCCTCGTAGCACAGGATCCTTCTTTAAGGCCCTCGTAGCACAGCATCCTTCTTTAAGGCCTGGTCAAGGAGAACGCCCCCCCGCCATGGAAGGAAACGACGATACCCCCCCCTTTCATTCTAACAATTCGCCCCCCCCCAATTATAACGACAAACCCCCCAACCCCGCTATCGGGCGGGTATGCGGGGTCTGGGAGCTTCCTTGAAGAAGCCTTTGCTTTATTCAATTCATTTGGTTCCTGTCAATTCCTGCCTATCGCATACATGTGTTTGATCGATTTTCGTCCGACCGACATATCTCGGTTCAATACAGGGCCCTTGACGCCACCCCGTGCTACGACATATGGAAAACAGGTGATTCGATTTCGTGTGAACTTGGACGAGACTTCGTGGGCTTGTGGACAACCAAGTTGATATTGGTAGCGGAGCTGGCGACGCTCCTCCCAAAGTATACGGACGGTGATCTTTGTGTTTGAAGAGTTCCTGAAGATCTTGAGAAAGGGTTTTGAGGTGCTCATCTCACTGTTCGTGTTCGGCGAGGCAATACTATGTCTCAAGCTTTCGGAGGGGCCGACCGCAGTTCGCCTAGGAGATACGCAGGGACCAAACGCGCCAGAACACCTCGTGAGCGAGATTTCCCAGAAGAACCACGAGAACGAGCAAACGGTGGGAGACCCGACACTGGTGGAGGCTTCAAAGGACTGGACTCAGGACTGTCTAAAGCTTGCCCTTCGACAGATGGTTTGAACCAGAAGAACTACAGAAGTTTTCGACGACGTGTTGAGTTGTTCGAAAGACAGTGCCATCGTCGCAGTGTTGATACGGCAGTTGAGGGTGCATTGTTACTCATTTCAAGGTTGCAAGATTTGGCTTGGGATTCAACAGAACAGATTTCTTTCGAAGCATTGGAACGCAGTCCAAAGCCGTTTACATTTGTGTATGAGATTTTGGACAATTTGTATCAGTACGAACAACAAGTTGAAGTGCCATCCCGTTGTGAAGAGTTCTTTGCAGAGTTCCAAAGGATGAAGAATGAAGATATGACTTCATACCTGGTCAGGCATCGAACATTGGTGAAGCGCATGAGGGATGTTGGTGTTGAAGTACCAGCCCTTCTCAGCGGCTGGCATTTGTTGACACGTGCTGGAGTTCCAAAGTGGACACATGTTCAAGTCAAAGCATTGTGTGGTGGTGACTTGGATTATGAGAAGGTTCACAAAGCTTTGATGAAGATGTTTGGCGGTGACCACAAGCCGAATCCAAAGGACCTTCAGAGGACAGCAACGACAACAGAGGTATACTTTGAAGATGATTATGAAGTTGTCGATGACGAAGGTTACTATGGTGAAGAAGACCCAGGCGACTGGTGGGAAGAAGAAGTGAATTATGAAGAGTGGCATGAAGAAGAAGAATGGAACGAAGATCTGGAAGAAGCAGCAGATGCCACAGAAGAAGCCTATATTTCCTACCTGGACAGTCGTCGAAGGATGCGAGAGTTAGCTCTTTCCCGAGGATTCTATCCCGTTGTGGCCATTGGTCCAGAAGCAGATGGTCGCAGCCAGAGCAAAGGAAAAGGAAATGGCAAAGGAAGTTCAAAAGGGAAGGGAAAGAGCAAAAGTTCCAAAGGAAAAGGAAAAGGAAAAGGAGGTGGTTTCAGACGCACCTTCGACAACAGACGACCCATGTCAGGTTTGAGGAGACCTACATCAAGCACAAGTGCAAGCAGCAATGAAGTGAAGTCAACCCTGACAGGTTCAACCAGCAGTCACGGCCCCAGATTCAAAAGGTTTCGTGTGCAGTCAAGTGGTGTGAAGGAGGTTCCAGAAGAACAAGTTTCGATGGTGGAGGAGACAGCCACCGTTGATGAGTGCTACTTTTCCTCCTTGTTGCCTGGTAGAGCGATCGTTGATTCAGGTGCAACCAGGACAATTGTTGGAGAAAAGGTTTGGCAAGGATGGTTGGAACATGCACAAGATTTGCCAGTACAGGTCACGCAGGTCTCAAGAGATTTCAAGTTCGGAGGAGGTGAGACGCTTCGTTCAAGCTATGACATCACCTTCCCGGTACAGGTACGTGGACAAGACCTGAGCGTGACAGCATCGGTGGTTCCAGGTAAGACTCCTTTCCTTCTGGCAAGACCGACGCTGGAAGAGTGGAAGGTGCAACAGGACTATGCAAAAGGCAGTCTGAAGATCAAAGATTCAGATTGGTTCCAACCGGAGAGAGGTCAAAAGGGGCACTACAT